CGGAATCCCGCAATGTGTGTGTGTGTGTATGTGTTTGTGTATGTGGTGTGTGCGTGCCTCGTGTGTGTATGTGTGTGTGTGTGTGTGTAAATTCGATCGTTTTTTGCACCGAACCGCCCGAAACAGATGCCCCCCAGCCGCAGGCAGCTCCCGATAGTTGCCGACGGGTGGGGCATGTGGGGGGCATCTGTTTGCGGCAGCTCGGTGCACCAGCGGATCGAACTCATGCCACCCCCCCTCAGGGTAACCCCTTCTCTGGTGGATCCCCATCCTTGTCGTTTTCTTGCTCCTGCCTCAGAGCAGGCGCCCCCTGGAGAGGGGTCCTCAGGGGACCACCGCGGGGCGCCCGTGGGGTCAGGCCCCGGCGCGCACCATGGCCAGTCGCCATGGCCCAGACTTCCTTGCGTCGTGGAAAAAAGTAGCGACGGGAGGTTTTTGGCCATTTTCGGCCTCCGGGGGCCCTTACCAGGCATCGGGGACGTCAAAAACGACCCAGGACGAAAAGCGGGTCCTGGTGATTGGGTCCAGACCTCTGGGACTCGACGCTGCGAACAAAGCCACGACGTCGGGGGTCCGTGAACGGTGCGGTGACCAGACCGTGTGTTGAGTCAGTGGAGATATGCTTAGGGGAACGAGCAATGACATAAACACAAAAAAACTCGGAGGTCCCCTCGGATTTCTTGGATCCGCGCTGGACCCCCCTCCCTGGCGCGCGGAACGCGCCAGGGGCGTCGCCGGAGGCGCCGCCAGGGGGGCCCAGCGCCGATCCGAGAAATCCGCGCGGACCTCTGGATTTTGTATGTTTATGTCATTGTTTGTTCCCCTGATATCAGCTTGTGGTTAACACAAGGCCAACCCCCCTCCTGGGGCTGATGAGTAGACCCCGCGGGGCGCGAAACCTTCTTTTAATCACGCGCGCCAGGGGATCGTCGCTGACGCCGCCGAGGGGATCGTGTACCCCCCTGCATGACAGCCTCAAAACGATTGTATTTCGTATAAGAGTTGTTATAAGGGTCGTACACATCCGAGGCGAATTTTCGTTCGCCCTCTCAGGCGTCGTCGTCATCGTCGTCGTCGTCGTCGGGCGTCGGCGCTAATCACCAGCGCCGCCCCGTTGATTTTTAGTCTGGCGGGCGCCACCCCGCGATTCGCCCGAGCAGGGGAACTATTTTTTCAAACACGCGCCCCCCACGGATTTGTTAATCACAAGCTGATGCTAATGTTGGATTTTAGGAATTCCTCGGTCTTCTTGCCCCTGGGTGCATCCCAGCAGCTGCGCCTCGCCGAGAGGCGCTCCCAGGGGGGGGGCCCGATCGACCCGGAGACACGGCCGCCGGCGCCTGGAAAGAGCGATATGCTCGGAGGAGGACCGGCGTGATGAGGCAGTGGGGATTCTCAGCGGCACCATAACGGGGAATGCGCTGGAGCCCCCTGACGGCGCCTCCGGCGCCGCCCCAGGGGGGCTTGGCCTTTTGTCAAGACTTCCTCCCCGCCCGCAAGCCGTCTCGCTCACTCCCACCCGCCCTACCAACACATATGTAGCATCCAAGTCTTGCCCGAGCCTCAGCATATTCAGCAGTCGTCTTTGGATGGGCAGCTACTGGGGGCCAATCCGCCGCCTCCGCCGCCTCCGCCGCCGCCGCCGCCGCTGCCGCCGCAGCCGCCACCGCCGCCGTGCCGCCCGCCGCCGCCGCCGCCGCCGCCGCCCCTGCTACCAAATCGCCGACGCCGCAGCCGCTGCCGCCGCAGCCGCTGCCGCCACCGCCGCCACCGCCGCCGCCGCCGCCGCCGCGCCGCCGCCGCCGCGCCGCCGCCCCGCCGCCGCCGCCGCCACCGCCGCCGCCGCCACCGCCGCCGCCGCCGCCGCCGCAGCCGCCGCCACCGCCGCAGCCGCCGCAGCCGCCGCCGCCGCCGCCAAGTGTATTATTGTATTGTTTTTTGACAAGGATGGTGGGGGGAGGCCGCATCGGGTTGGCTGCGCATGCTCCGAATTTGGAGGCAGAGTGTGTGTTTGTATGGTTTTTGTGCAAGGGATGGTGGGGGGTGCCCGCATGGTTCCGGGTTGTCTACCAGTCGCTTGGGGGAGTGGGTGTTCACTATTAGGGAACAGTGATTAACTACAAGCTGACATCAACATAAAAACTCAGAGGTCCGCGCGGACCTCATTTATGTCATTGCTCTTTCTCCTAAAGTTGCCACTTTAGGGCCGCATTGCAAGCGTTGCCCACATCGGAGAGGGTTGGGCTCGCTGGGTCACAGGCCAACGTGCCCATCAGTGGAGTCCCCATCAGGGGGGCGCTGAGATTAGTGGTGGCCGCACGTTTTTTTTTTGGGGGGGGGGTTGTTGGGTCGTTTTCCGAGGATGTCTAGGGCGACTGGGGCCTCAGGTCCCAGAGCCGTGCGGCGACGGACCCTGCGGCGAGGTCGTTTGGGGATGCCGAGGTCCACGCACGGTTTGTTACCGCACCGTGGAGCGGCCCCCCCCAAGGCTGTGACATCACCTACAATGGCGAGTCGCTGAACAACAACTGTGGGAAGTGCACCACGATGACGGACGGCCAGGGGCCAGAAGGGTTTAACTATGCTTCCCAGATGGGGTCCGAGTGGATGGGGTCGGCGGATCGCGCCGAATCGCCGATGCATCGGCGATGCGGCTCGATGTGGAGCCCGACTTCCTCCACGCCGATGCAGCGCGATCCTCCGACCTGATCTCACCGTGCACTTCAATCATCGACGCCCCTCTCCTTGTGGCGAAACTATATAAACGTCCGCCCCTGGAAGTGATCTTTCTCCCCCAGAGCCCTCAGTGCAGGATCCCACCAAGATCATATAGGATCCCAACAAAACCCCCATCGGATTCCCAGAGGATCCTTGCAGGATTCCTCAAGGATTCCTGAGGATTCGATCTTGTAGGCCTCTTCGGAGGCCCTGGGAGGCCACTAGTCGGCGGCGAGCCCAGGGGGGGAATTAGAAGGGGCGGGCCTTCTCAGAAGGCTCGGAGGTTCCCTGGCCTTCTGAGAAGTTTTATAAGCCTTCCCGGAAAACAAACAACAACTTATCAAAAGGCGCGAGGTCCTCTGAGAGTCCTCGCCGCCTTCTAACAAGGCCTTCTCCTTCTCACTTCGCCCCCTCGCTCGCCACCAATCTAGGAGGTCGCTTGGGCAATCCTGAGGATCCCTGAGGTTATTCGGATCAGCACATCTAGGCCTCCCAGATGTGGTCCGAGTAGATGGGTCGGAGGATTGCGCCGCATCGCCGACGTTGCCGATGCATCGCCGGTGTATCGCCGATGCATCGCCGATGCATCGCCGATGTATCCGCGATGCGGCGCGATCCTCCGACCCCAGCTACTCCGACCCCATCTGGGAGCCCTCTAGCACAGGAGCACGACCTTCGGCCGTCCACGGGCGGTTCCTCAAGCGAGCGCCGGGCCCGCTCTCCCCGCACCTCCGGGCACCGCCTCCAGCACCACCCTCGGCGCGGCAATGCCGTGCGCGCGGGGGAGGCCGAGGGGAGGGGGGGGCCGGCGCCAGCGGAATACCCGTGCGTGTATGTGCAAAGTTTGTGTTTCCTCTGTGCCCTCCTCCTCGTCTTCTTCTTCCTCCTCCTCCTCCTCCTCCTGCTCCTGCTCCTCCTCCTCCTCCTGCTCCTGCTCCTCCTCCTCCTCCTTTTCCTGCTCCTGCTCTTTCTTCTTCTCCTCCTCCTCCTCCTCCTCCTGCTCCTGCTCCTGCTCCTCCTCCTCCTCCTCCTCCTGCTCCTCCTCCTCCTCCTCCTCTTCCTCTGTGCCCTCCTCGTCCTCTTCTTCCTGCTCCTGCTCCTGCTCCTGCTCCTCCTCCTCCTCCTGCTCCTGCTCCTCCTCCTCCTCCTCCTCATCCTGCTCCTGCTCTTTCTTCTCCTCCTCCTCCTCCTGCTCCTGCTCCTGCTTCTCCTGCTCCTGCTCCTCCTCCTCCTCCTCCTCCTCTCCCTGCCCCTCCTCCTCCTCCTCCTCCTCCTCCTTCTCCTCCTCCTCCTCCTCCTCCTCCTCTTCCTCCTCCTCCTCTCCTCTCCCTCCTCCTCCTCCTCCTTCTTCTCCTTCTCCTACATATCCTCTGTGCCCTCCTCCTCCTCCTCCTCCTCCTCCTCCTCCTCCTGCTCCTTCTCTTTCTCTCCTCCTCCTCCTCATCCTGCTCCTGCTCCTGCTTCTTCTCCTGCTCTTCCTTATCCTCCTCCTCCTCCTCCTCCTCCTCCTCCTCTTCATCATTATCATCATCATCAGCATCAGCATCATCATCACCATCACCATCGTCACCATCATCATCAGCACCACCACCACCATCATCATCATCATGATTATCATCATCATCATCATCATCATCATCATCATCATCATCATCATCATCATCATCATCATCATCATCATCATCATCATCATCATCATCATCGTCATTATCATCATCATCATCATCATCATCATACTCATCATCATCATCATCATCATCATCGTCATCGTTATCATCATCAACATCACCATCATCATCAACATCGTCAGCATCATCATCATCATCATCATCGTCCTCGTCCTGCGAGGACGGCCGGGGTGCTGGCCAGGCGCACCATGGAGACAAGTGCGTGTATCTGTTAGAGTGGGTGAAATGCTTCCCTGAGACATACTGGGCCATCTCTGCTGGAGTCGGCACCGTGATCCGTGACCCCGCAAGTTGCCCAGGGGGCGCTCCAACTTCAGCTCCTGTAGTGGCACCAACGATGGACCCGACGGCAGCTCCGACGGGACATCCAACAGAATATCCGACAGGAGCGCCGACGCCGGTGCCAACTCCAGCAGTACCGACGGCAGCTCCGACGGCACTTCCGACAGTCTTTCCGACACCAGCTCCGCCAACGGCGGCTCCGACACCAGCTCCGCCGACGATGTCTCCGACGGCGCCCCCGACGTTGCCTCCCTCAGAGCAAGGTCCGGCGGATGACGCCAGGTTCCTGCTGCACGCCACCTTCGGGCCGACGAAGGAGACCCTGCAGGAGCTGAGTGGGAAGAGCTATCCTGATTGGGTCCAGGAGCAGATGCAGCTGCCGGCCAGCTCCCATCGGGAGTACTACCGCAAGCGCGTCAGCCCACGGAAGAACAGTGACACCGCGCACATCAACTTGGCGGAGAGGCCCATCTGCACGAAGGGCTCCCGCTGGCACGGGTACGCGCTGACAAGAGATGACATAGGGTCGAGCATTTTTATCAGCGGCGGGAAGGTCTTGATCGGCAACGTGGCGCGGACGGACATCGATGCGGGTTACGCCAACAACGGCCTCAGCGCGCCGATGACGTGCACGGATGTCCCTACGCCGCAGATGGTCTCTGAGAACGAGGCCTGCAGCGCCCACGGGGCGTGCAAGTACGACAACGACTGGGTCGCGAGCAAGTATTGCCAGCAGAGCTGCTTCGACGCAGGCAACGGCTACGACGGGGACGACTGCTCGGGCGGATGGCCCTCCCGGAATGGTTGGGGTGGCTTCGTCTGCCTCGTGCAGGAGGAGGTCGGCGGGATGGTCGTGCTGGGCACGCAGTCGGATTGCTCGCCGTGGGGTGTGAGGATCTATCTGTACAATCCCGCCATCTGGTTCGCGGACGCGTCGGTGGCCGTGCCGACCACCCTGCCGTTTGACCAGGCCAGCTGGAGGCCGGGGCTCATCTTCTTGAGGGAGGACGCGCAGAACTGCAACCTCGACAGCAAGGGGCTCCCGCGGGAGGGAGCAGTGGCAGGGTTGCGGGGGTCCCTGCGGTCCCGCCCTCTCCCCCCTCCTTCAGGCTTTGACTCTCCGTCCCGCCCTCTCCCCCCTCCTTTCAGGTTCATACTGAAGGACGGGCTCTTCTACCGGCACGAGACCAGGCTGGCCCTCGAGGACCACACCTGCCAGCTGCAGCCAGAGGACGGCGCGCTCGACTTCGGCATCGACGGGCACCTGTGCGGCTCACCGGGCGAGGTCTCGAACGCTGGGACAGGGGGGCACCAGTTCCCGATCCGCGCCTCTGGGTGGCTCGCGCCCCCAGTCGGCTCGCCGCCCGACTACGTGTATGACAACAGGTATGGCACCCACATGTTTAAGTGGCCGCCGCTGACCACGGGCCTCGCCCGGGGTGCGGTCTGGCTGAATTTGGCCTTGCACGCAACCGACCAGCTGCGCCAACGGGTGGCCTGGGCCCTCTCCCAGATCTTCGTCATCGGTTCCTCCCTGGGCGGCCACGACTACTTCACCGAGATGTGGACCAACTACTACGACATATTCGTGCGCCACGCCTTCGGGAATTACCGGGACGTGCTGAGGGAAGTGACGTTCGCGCCGCTGATGGGCGAGTACCTCACGTACGCGGGCAGCTTCGCTTTCGACGACAGCCTCTCCTACGCCGACGAGAACTATGCCCGCGAGGCCGCGGGAGGGGGGTGGGGGGGGGAGGCAGCGCCAGACGCCTCGGACTTGGCCGAACGGCCTCGCCTCGCCGATGGCTTGCTTCCTGGGGGGTGCAGGTGCCGCACCGAGGGCCCATCCCCGAGGCTCCATCTCTCGGTCGAGCCCGTCGCGCCCGAGATGTGCACGGGGGGCCGTGGGGCCGGAGCGGCGGAGAGGCGAGGGAAGCCACGACGAGGCCCAGGAGAGGTGCGCGGGCAGGGTGGCCTGGAGCGGAAGTCCCGCGGGCCCAGGACGAGCGTGCCCAGGACGAGGACGTCGGGGTGCTCCTTCTCCTCCTCCTCCTGCTCCCACCTGCTCTTTCCTTCTCTTTCTCCTCCTCCTCTTCCTCCCCCTCCTCCTCTTCCTCCTCCTCTTCCTCCTGCTCCTCCTCCTCCCTTCCTCCTCCTCCTCCTCCTCCTCCTCCTCCTCTTCCTCCTCCTCCTCCTCCTCCTCCTCCTCCTAGCCCCCGAGGCCCAGATTGCAGTTTCGGGCGAGACAGACATCCCACTATGTAGAGAGTGCGGTGTTCCCCCCCGCGCCCGCACTCCAGCCCGCGGCGGGGGCCATGTTGCGGTTTCTTGGACACAATCCTATGTCTGCGGGTTTCTACCGAATGGAGGAGATATTACAGGAGGTGGGGAACTTTGACGTGATCGCCCTCGCAGGCACGAAAAACACAGTGAGTTCGGGCGAGTGCACGCTCAAGCGCACGATCAAGGGGCGACTCGTGTATGAGGCACCGTATGGCAAGGCTCCGTTCTCGAACAACGCTTGCGGAGTGGCCGTCGTGCTTCCACATCGGGTGCAAGAAAAACATGTACTGAGAATTTGGAGATGCCCACCAGAGGCACTTGGTAGAGCTATCGCAGTGAGGGTGAAGAAGGCAGCTCTTGACATATGCGTGGTGAGTGTTTATTTTTCCACCCCAGCCTACACAACGCAAGCAACGCGGAGCGTATTTTAGAGCTACTGCTGTTATTATTGCTTGGCTAAAGAGTGTCCTGGATGCGTTGCCTGTTCGATGTACCCCCCTCATTTACACTGACCTCAATGACGGGATGGGCTTAATGAACAGAGATGGTTCTTGGATCGAATGTACGACGGACTCCCTGGGTTCGGCAAATCGAGAACGGCTTTCGAATGATGTTGGCCAGCGTTTTAGGGAACTTCTTGAACACCACCATCTCTGGGCTGCCAACACACACGGGGCCGATGTGGTTTCAACGTTCTTCGGGAACAACGCGAATTCGAGGATAGACTATGTTTGCTGCCCGCTCGGGATGAAACACCTGATCCGTTCCTGTTCTACGCTGAGACGCCTGGGGGCAAAACTCCAACCTGTGCGTGGGCCACCGCCAAAGGACCATCTACCTGTCGCTTTAGTTCTGTATTATAACAAGGGCGATCAATATCAGGAGGAGGAGGATGAGGATAATAACATTTCTTGGGACAGAGAAGCTATGATGCAAGCTCTTAGGCATGGGACACGTCGCCTTGAATTTTTAGAGGCACTTCGGCTTGAGTTTCAGAATGTTCATATTCACTGGCTGCGGGACCACGCTTCACCCGATGAGATTTTCGAAGCCGTCGAATCTGCCTTGCGCTCCGCTGGTGAGCAAGTCTTTTCAAAGGCCTCAACGGCAGACCCAGAGTTCCAGCTGTGCAGCAAATGGCGTCGCAGGCTTTTGAAGGAGCGGACCGAAATCCGTGGCCAGAAGCTGGAGTGCGACGAGGCCGAGATTGAAGTTATTGATCAGCAACTCCGCGATATCTCATCTCGAGTTTGTAAGCTGAGGAGACAAGCTGTGAGAAGGAGGAGGGCCAGATTAGTGGAGGAGAGTTCCGAGCATTGGAAGCATCGTAGAGTTGCTGAAGCTATGTCGACTGCACGCCGTGCTGCATCGTGCCGATATGGCCCCAAGCGCAGAGACGGCCGTCTTGCATGTGCCAGCTTACCTACGGCTCAGGCTTGGAAGGAGGTATGGATGAGGGAGGGCAAGGACGGGGGCATGAAATGCACTGAGATCGACTGGGAGGCGTGGAGGGAGGAGCACGATGAGGATTACCCTCTCATTGAGGACGAGGAGGTGTTGGAGCTGGCGGAGGAGGACCTCTCTCAGATGCGTAGATATATAAGATCGGCCCCCAAGCGCCGTGCAGTACCTTGTTGTTGTGCCCCGCTTGAGCTCTGGCATACGGTGCTGTATCCTAACTGGAGAAGAACTATAGTGGAAGGTCTGGGGCCCCCAAACAAAGCCCCTGACAATCGTGTGTTCTGGTATTTGGCTCTTCTTGGGCTCCAGAGGATACGGTCCTACAAGATGATCCCGAAGTATTGGAACTGCAGTCTCGGGGCTCCCTTACATAAGAGTCACCGAAGAGGCCCACTAGGAAAACGAGTTGTTCACATTCTTCCTGTTCTTGGAAAGGCGTACTTTGCGAGAAAGTTTAAACCTCAGCCAGGCCAGGTCGGCTATGGGTTCGTTCGAGAGCGGCAAAGAGAGACAGCTATTTTTGTATCCAACACGGTACCACATCGCCTTCGCCGATCTCGACGAACATTCTGCATGTGCTTCAAAGATTTGAGTACTGCGTTCGCCAGCAGTTCGTGGGAGCGAATGGGCGCTGCAGTTGAGGAATATGTCGCGCCCGAGGACCAGGCAGTTTGTCGCCTTCGGTACCGCGAGGCGGTTGTTGCTCTATCTGCTGGGGAGGGTGGGGGGATCACACTCAAGACCCAGCAGGGCGGGCTCATGGGGGACCCGTGCATTGTTCAAGCTTTCAACGGGACCTTCAGACAACCCATTGATGATTGGCGCGGGGGTGTACAGCGCGACGACCCTTGCAGCAGCGAGCTAGTTTCTTCCTGGGAGGGGCACCGAGTCGGGTTGGGTTTATTGAAGTATGCTGATGATTTACATAATTTCATTTTGGCAGATTATGGCTCGACCCTCCCTGACTTTGTGAACAAGATTAAGAAGCACGACATACTTTTGAACAGTAGACTGGGCCCATGTGGGTTCGGACAGACTTTGTCCAAACAAGAATGTATGATGTACTTTGGGGGTCACAGTACTTACTTAAAACAGATACTCAGGAAAGGCGGGGTGGACCTCCAGGGCCCCATCAGGGGACAAGTCATGCACCTGGGGCCACATGTTGTTCTTCGGGATAGTGCGCACCATGAAATTGATAGGCGTATCAATGCTGCTTGGGTTTCATTTGGATCTCTGGGCTCTGTCTGGCAATTGGACCCGCAGTGGAAATTTGAACGTTTATTACTCCAGGGCTTCGCCTACAACTCTCTCTTGAGTGGCCTCGAGGCTTTCGTGCTGACTGCTTCTGAGTACTCTCGGCTCGAGGCCGCTCTTGCTCGATTTTGTCGTCTTGCGATGGCTGGAAAGGCCACCGACTGGTCAGGAAGTCACCCTCGCACATTGACTAATGAAGAGCTTTTGAGATTTTGGAGGCTTTCGACTCCCACCCTGGAGTTACGTATTCGGCGAGTTCGTTTAGTTCAGAGTTGGGCCCGACGGCCCCTTCACCACCTTCAGGTTCTATGTGCACTGTTCGGGGAACTTCCTAATGAACAAATGGGGCCTCTCGACGACCCGGGAGGTTTAAGTCTGTCTGCATGTCCCTGGGCATTCCAGCTGCGGGCCGATCTTCAGAGCGTGGCTCAGGAGCTGGACCAGGCAGTTTTTGGCGAAGTCGCTCGGGACTTCAGGCTGCTGCTCGACGAGGCGACTGCCTCATTCTTTGCTGGCGTGGATGTCTCCGCGTGCAGATCGAGACAATACGCTGTGGAGATCGCGCCCGCAGACTTTGCATCGGTGCCACATGCGCCCCGTGTACTGGAAGAAGAGACTCCTCCTGCCCCTCTACCTTGGAAATGCTGGCTCCCCTCTGAGGAGAACCCCGCTGAGGTTTGCGTGGCATCGTTTGGTAGCCGCAGGGACCTCATGAACCACCTCAGGGGAACTCATGGGTTCAGAAAAGTATGTCACCTCATTGCGCCAACAAACATATGCGTACACTGCAGGCAAATATTCGCATGCAAAGCAAACGCAGCCAAACATGTAATGTGATCTATGTTCCGTGGGCACTGTCAAACCGTGGGCCCCTCGGCTTTGAAAGAGCTGATCCCCGTGACCTCCTTCCAGTGCCCCGTTTGCGAGTTCGGCGGATCGAGTCTCGACGATTTCTGTGAACATTTGTGCGCGCGCCTTCCCTTTCGGCCGCTCCCATGCGTTGCGGATGTCCGTGAACGCGCCGCCGTCGCTGCCCGTGGAGCCTCTCTCGTGGTCCAGTCCTTCGACGGCCCAGACAGCAGACGTGAAGCGTCCCGCCGAAGGGGCCGATGGGGGGCCTGCCGTCACGCAGGCGCGCCGAGAAAGGAGCAGGCGTTTCAAAGGCCAACGACAGGGTGACATTCTCCCTGGCCCGCGATGTCAAGAGCGCCCTGTACCCCAGGTACGACGTGTCGGTGGGCATGGCGGCAGCAGGCAAAGCGGCAGGGATGAAGTACAACGGCGCCGAGTGGATGAAGCTCGAGAAGGGAGGTCACTCCGTCGACCGCAGGCTTCGCGGGCCCCTGCGCGTGCACGGGCGCAGCAAGCAGTTTGCCGAGGGCGCTCCGCCAGACCACGTGAAGCTGCTGGACGAGAGGAAGGAGTTCTTCGCCAAGGGCATCACGGCGCAGAAGCTGGGCAGAGAGATCCCGTATTTCAGGGCGAGGGTGCTCAAGGCGATGCAAGGGGGGAATGCCAAGGCCATCATCTCATGCCACTTCCACCACGACCTCATCGGTCTCGTTCTCCCCCGCCTGCTCGAGGCGAGGATGGAGTTCGAGGGGGGGGGGGGGGGGCGCCCGGCAGGTGCGGCCCCGCGCGGGCTCTTGGAGAAGAAGCTAGTGGAGGAGGCCGGGATGAGGGACAAGCTGTAGGTAGCTCCAGTAGATTCGACACATACATAGAATT